AGGCGACCCCCTGAGGCAGACCTGCTGGGCTGTGGGGAGCTCAGGCTGGCTGGGCTGGGCAGGGTCGGGGTCGGGGCTCACCCCAGCCGAGGAGCAGGTAGCCGCGGAAATGGCCCTCCTCCCAGCCGCCCACGAGCACCAGGAGCCGGTGCAGGTACACGCCCTCCACCAGCAGCCACGTGTAGTTGGCACCCACGCAGTACTGGGTCAGGATCTGGGCCGTGCGGCAGGCGGCCAGGGCCTGGGGAGGGTCGGACGGTGGCTTCAGATATTCCCCCACCCAACGTCGCCAGTGGGTGGTACTTGTGGCTGGTTTCTCTTACCCTGTTCTTGCCCTATATGGACTGTCCCATTCTGACCACCTTAACAGCTGTCATCTTCCTTTTAGTTACCAGAGTCCCTCCTCCAGAACCCCAAAATATTTCCTCTGCCACACGGCCTTCTAACAACTGAACTTTCAGAACTTTCCCCATTAACAGGGGGTGTGGCCCAATTTGCTGCCAACCTCTGGCCGTCCCCCTCTTCCAGTAACAAATTGGTACTTCCCTCCCGTTAATTTCGTCCATCCCGACCCCCTCACCACCGCTCATTGGTGGAAAAGCCTCATCACGCTCGAGATCGAGAGCTTGAATGGAAAATCCAATAAGGGAACTGGGGTGGGGGGGATTCAACCGGGGAGGAGGCTGAGTTGGGAGGGTCCCTGTCCAAAGGTAGTAAGTGAAGGAGGTCCGCCGGAGCGGGCGGCAGATTCCCGTTCTGGGGACAGGAAGGAGGAGGAGCACCTTGTTCCACCGGGTTTGGGTCTGATCCCCCGGGTAGGGCCGAGGAGGCGGCAGGAGGCGGTCGCGGGTGAGGATGGCGGCCGCGCGCATCATGAAGGACGTGAACAGGTTGATGTGAATGTAATTCCGAGTGCAGCGGAGCCGCCTGTGGAGTTTAAGAGGTGATCTGGGGACACCCCCCCCCCCGCAGAGCCGTCCTGGCCACACACGCGGTTTCTTTAACCACCTTCCAACCCTTCTCACAGAGCCCTCCGGGGTGCTTTTGGAGCTGGTGACACCCATCACCACATCTTGCTGGGAAGCCTGAGGCTCACGTCTCTACCTCGGCCGCTCAGGGCTGGGTTCCCACCTGAAGAAACTCAAGATGAGCAGGGCTATTAGCAGAGTGGCAAAGGACAGGGAGTAGCCGATGGTGTACACGACCCGTAGCCGCTCCAAAATCAGTCTCTGGTCCTGGTGGGGGCGAGGAGAGCAGAGGAATGAGGCTCCGCCTGCAGGCCGGGAGGGGCTTCACACTGGGAAAGTGATGCTTTCCTCTTTGCTCCTGCCCAACAGCCCAGTATTCTCTTGAGCCACCACCTACCTTGTTTGAGAGGGGCTGCTCCTCCCTTCAGCTCCAGGCCTGGGAAGTTTCCAGCAAATGGGCGCATTCTGTCCAACACACACCCCACCCACACACGGATTCACCCCAAGACCACAGCACCCGGCCTAGACAATGCAGTGCTGGGAGAAGGAAGCTCAGTCTGAGGCCAGCAGTGAGATCGTGTTTTTTGAGTATCTACGCCTCCCTGTTCCTTAAACTGTTGCCTTACACTGGACTTTTCAGTTAGAAGCCAGTATGGTCGTCGTTTCCTCCTGTGACTCCAAGTTGGGTTTCTGTTCCCTGAGCAGTACCAGTTCTTTCACCTCTCCCTAGACATCCTAACTCGAATCCCTGCCCGCTTATTACCTGAAACACCCCATGCTTTTCTGGATTCTCACACTGAGTGTGGTCTCTCCACGGTCCCCACTGTCCATCACTGCCACACCACCGGAGGACGAAGCCTGCAGCCACTGTGGGAGGTCAGGGGAGGGGGTCAGAGGCACAGAGGAGGAGGGATAGACAGACGGTGTGAAGGGATTGTAAAGTGACCATATGATCACAAGCCCGTGTACATCTTAAATGTGTTAATTTAATGTTTGTGCAAGTTCGTGAAAGGGGTACTATCCTTGACCCCACAAAGAAGTCAAAAATAACTGCCCGAGGCTATATAGCTAGCGAGGCCAGGAAGACCAGCGGAAGAAAACAACAAAACAAAAAGCCTCAAAAGATGGAGAGAAAATAAGAACCCCACGTCCTGAGGGACAGAAGGGGACACGGAACCTGAGAGGAGGGTAGAGGACAGAGAAGGGCCAGGGACAGAAGCAGGAGGGTGTGTGTGAGCTGCAGGGCGCCGGTGCCTGGGGGTAGGGAGTCCAGGGAGCGCCTCACCTTGCCAGTGCCAGGGCAGGTACCAGGGGCACGACGCACGGGCAGTGGCGTTGGGGGCAGCGTAGTCCCAGCAGACGTACATATCGAAGGACCCGTTGCAGGCGAGGCCTGGGGGTGGGGTGCCCCACCCACCCGGAGCCCGTAAGTCCTCTCGACCACAGGCTCCTCCCACCAGCCCTCAATGCCCCGCCCACCACCCAAGCCCTACCCCTGGCCACTCCCACCCAGGAAGTCTCAGCCCTATTCTTCCCCCTAAGGAGGACCTCTTCCCCCTAAGGAGGACCTTCCCGAATTCCACCCCTTCGGTGCTAGCAGGACCCCAAGATCCCTTCCCTGTCCAGCTTCTTCCCTGAACTCTCCTACTTTTTTTTGGTTTTTTTTGGGGGGGGTACCGGGGATTGAACTCGGGTCCTTGCGCTTGCAAGGCAGGCCACCGAACCGCTGAGCTAAATCCCCGGCCCTTGTTTTTTTCTTTTTTGAGACAGGGTCTCTATGTAGTTCCAACTGGCCTCGAACTCCCGGCGGCCCTCCAGCCTCAGATTCCTGAGTGCTGAGATTACAGGCGTGCGCAGCCACACAGGGTTCTCAGAGTCACCTACGAATCAGGGTCCCACCCCGTCCTCACTGCTCTCAGGCCAGCTCCATTTATACAGGAGGACCCAGCACACAAAAGTCTCAGATTTCTCCTCTTTCAGACCCCGCCCTCAGCCTTAGGCCAACTCCAAGCCCACCCATTAGCCCCAGCTCCTCCCCCAGCCCCTGGCGTCCACCTGAGGGCGGCTTCGCGTCATCCAGGGTCTTCTGGCACTCCCAGCGGTACCGCTCCCAGCGCTGGTACAACTCCCCCGCTGTTTGTCCCCCAAAGTCTGTCTAGGAGAAGAGAGGAGGGAGGACCCCCCCGACAGCTCAGCTCTCTAGAGCCGCAAACACCCTAGACAGAGACGTGGAGGGACAGTCTCCTTTTGCAGGGCAGTCCTGGGTAGCCTAGAAACCTGTGAGGGGTGCCTGGAAACCGCCAAGGGATTTGCTACTGGAGATTGCAACCCTTTAGTAAGGTTGAAGAGGTCACGGTGACTGGACCTCATCAGGAGGATTTGTGGGAGTCAGCGAGGAGTGCAAACTATCATCAAAACTTGAATCTGAGCAGGCGAGGCAAAACTCTGAAGGAGAGGCCTTGAACCCAGCCCTCCCCCTAGATGTGAGCTTCTGAGTCAGTCTCAGGGTCCTCACCTCCGCCCTCCGCAGCGGCAGTCCCCACAGCGACAGCAGCAGCAGCACCCGAAGGGAGCAAGAGTTCAGCATCCTGAGGGTGGAGAAGGGTCTGGAGGATGGGGCAGAGTCAGCCCCCTCCGCCCTTAGCCCCGGGACTCCAACCCTAGCGCCCACACCCTTAGGGATTCTTACAGGTGCACCAGAGGCCGGCTGCCTCCGGATTTGGGGCGGGGCGGGGCCTGAGGGACGGGCGTGGCCTCCACACCAAGATCCTAGGCGCGAGGCCCGGCCGCCCCCAACTGTTGCTGGGGCAGCGGTGGTGGAAGGGAGGGTGTTTGCAGAAAGGGCTGTTGCCCTAGAGCTGCCCTGGGCAGACGCGTCAATGTCACCCAGAGTCTAGACCTACAGACCCCGGGGGACCTGCGGATCACCAAGGAGAAGAGCGAGTAGAAACTGTCAGCCAAGGCTAGAGGGGAGCTTGAAATGCCTATCTGAGCTCCACTCTTCCAGCCCAAAAAGGCTTTCCAGTTGCAGATAGGAAGGAGCCCGATCTTACAAAACTTTCCCAATTTGGTTAGATAAAGACCACAGTCAGCCGGACAAGCCCTCCCAGCATCCAAATACTTAGGGACCAGAGAGGTCTCAGACCTTGGGCTTAGATCTGCAGGGGTCCAGGTGCCTCAAAATCCTTTGTTCTAACCCCCCTATACTCCCAGTCTCCTCCCCGGGGGTACTGGGTAAGGAAAGGGGGAAGCCAGGGGGACCTGAGACAGAGCCCCAGAAAGACAGAGCCACAGGAATCAGGAATAGAGAGGCTCCTAGACGTGTGACAATGAGACACACAGCAAGAGACCAGAAATCAAAGGACAGAGACAAAAAGGAGGCAGAGACATGCAGGGAGACGGAGAGTGGGGAAGAGGCCTAGAAGAGACCGAAGGCCGTCTGGGGGCTCAGCAGAGACAGGACACTCAGACACCGGGACGGGGATGGGCACAGGCAGGAGACAAAGGCGTGAGGTGAGGAGCAGCCAGGGCTGAGAGGGACCCCGAGGCCCAGAGCAGAGATGGGAGGGTTGGGGGTGCAGGAGGTGAGGTGGGGACCCGGTTGCCCTCACCTGTTCCCAGACCTGTCCCCAGTCACTTGCTCCCGCTGCTCCTGCTACCGATTCCTCTGGCGCCTCGCCCGTGCTCTGGAAGAGGTGACAGCGCAGCCACAGCCTGGGAGGGGGCGGGGCCGGGGCGGAGCGGAGGCTGGGCGGGGAGCTGGGGACAGGAAGCAGAGGGCCCTCGCCCGATCCTGGGTAGCCCGGTCGCTGTCTTAGGGGAGAGGAGTCAGTTCTGAGGACCCCCACCTGGTGTGCACGAGTTCTCCCACCTCCACTCGGCCCTCAGGTCACTGCACGCGCACACGCAGCCACGGTCACACACAAGTGCCACGCACAGCCCCGTAGCTGAGGCCAGAGAGGCGCACAGGCGCGGAAGCTCCAGTGCTGATCCTCGGAGTCACACTCAGGAGCACATTCCACAGGGTAACACAGCCACCCGTGGGAGTCTTCACAATCGCGGGGTACAGCCAGTGCCCCACAGCCCAGGGACACTGTCAGTGCCACATTCCTACACTCACTAGGACAGGTCACAGAACCCTCTGTCCCCCCCTCTGCGGGGCCCCGGGAGAGTTCCAGGACACCATGGGTCCCAGGTTTGCCCAGAGCAGAGGTTCTAGGGGTGATGACAACACACTCGTTGTGTGTGTGGCTGCTCACAGGGCTGTGGTTCTCACACAAGGGGGCTAGGGGACCACGGCCCCTAGAGCCCACACAGCCCACACTCCCCTGACCTCCGGGGTCCGCAGTCACACCCCAAAACACATCCTCCACATGCTGCCAGAAGCTCTCACACAGACACACAGGTCTCCGTGACAGACCTGCCCACACTCACAGGTCACACACGCCCCAACATGTGTCACACATGTGATCCCACAGCCGCAGAGCCCCGTGGTCACAGGAACCCCTGAGTCACACAGGTCTCCAATCTCAACTTCCAGGCTCTTCCTTTGCCCTAAATGGGGGACATCGGTCGATGGTGGGGACGGCTCAGAACCCAGTTCCCACCCTCCGAGCCTCCACCACCTCCCTTTCATTAATCACACTAACGAGCATGACCACACTCTCCCCCGGGACTAGAAGACGCGTGGGACAGAGGAGACACTGCCCATTTGGCAGAGGAGAAACCGAGGCACAGAGGCCTCTGAGGGGTGGGTAGCAAGGGGTGTTGTGAGGGCTGCACCGCAGGCTGGAAGGAGACAGGTCTCCGTGCGGGGCAGGGTCCTTGCCGACGGCCTCTGGGGCCTCCCTGCCCTCTGGCCCATATTCCTGGCGCCCTCCGGGTCCTGGGAAAGCTCCATCCTGAAGTGGATAGAGAAGAGGGTCTCAGATGGAGAGCTTCTCTAGGAGAGGCTGGGACTAGGGAGGAGTGGCCCGGTCCCAAGAGGGAGGGGAGGGTCACTCTGCTGAATGGGGGGAGGAAGCAGGGGAGAGGAGCTGAGGAGAGACAGAGACAGAGAGAGAGAGAGAGAGAGAGAGAGAGAGAACAGAAAAAACAAGAGCTGGGAAGTGGCCCTGGGACAGCTGGGCCGGAGCCTGTCCTGGGCGGTGAGGAGAGACCCTCCCGTGCCCTCTCGCCCCCTCAGAACACGGGGTGGGAAGGGGACAGGTCGATGTCCAGGTGCATGACTGGCCCCATCCCAGCCCTCTGGGGCGGGGACAGCAGGTCCCGTGCTCAGGGCTTCCAGGAACCCGGGGAAAAGCGGCGGGGTGCCTTTCTCCAGGCAGCCATGCGGCCCGGGGAGCCTGGGTCCCTGCACTGCTGCTCCTGCCTCGGTTCCTGTCCCCTGGCCCAGCCCCTCCCCTCTTCTGCTCCTCCTCGCTGCCCCCTTCTCCCTGTCCTCTCCCACCCCTTCCTTCCGGGGCCCGAATCCCACGTCCTCCTTGTCTCCCACCCCTCTGTACGGTCTCTCATTTCGTCTTCTCAACCTTCTGCCAGCCCCTCGAGCCTGTCTCGTTCTGTCGCTCTGCTGCTTTCTGGGGCCCTGTCCTTCCTCAGGGTTGGTCTCCTCTTTGCCAGCCTTTAGAAACTTTCTCCTTTCTCTCTCTCTTCTCCTATCTTTAGGGTGTCTGTCCGTCTGTCTGATTCACTTTCTCCACCGTCCCCAGGACAGGAGCTCCTGGTTCTGCTCCCTCAGCCTCCGCCCCCAGTGCTGACCAGGCATTGGCCCTGGCCACAATGGAGGATGAGAGCTGGTGTCCCCATGGGGCTGCCAGGCCAAGCAACGCCCGCCTGCGGGGAGCAGCAGGGGCCTGGGGTGTGGGCAGATGGTGCAGGAGAAATGAGGCAGAGAGATATGGGGAAAGGGGCACCCCATGGGGACTGAGGCCAGAACTAGGAGGATACGCCAGCCCCTGAGATTCGGGACTGCAGAGAGAAGCCGGGGACCCAGAGAGAGATGCGTGCACAAAGATGGAGAGACGGCGGCGGGGCAGAGATGGCTCAAGGGAGACAGGGCTACCATCGCGGGATGATGGAGACAGAGACCCAGGAGACAAACCAAAGGGACCATGACACACAGCGACGCAGGATCCAGACAGACAGGAAGAGACAGATACCTAGAGACAGAAACCTAGAGAGACAAACCCCGAAAACAGGAATACAAAGAGATACAGAGGCTGGAGAGACAGAGACACAGACATGGAGACCCAGAGAGAGGATGAAGCACAGAGAATGAGACCCAAGGAAAGAAGATCTAACAGGCAGGGTGGGTGTGGAGGCACACACACACCCAGGATTCCAGCACTAAGGGAGGCTGAGGCAGGAGGATTTCAAGTTTGAACCCAGCCTGGGCAACTTAGCGATTTAACAAGACTCTGTCTCAAAATAAAAAATAAAAATGGGTTGGGGGTGTAGCTCAATGGGAAAGCCTTAGCTCCTCTCAGGCTCTTCTGGGACTTGGGAAGAGAACTGCGGTCGTCTCCATAGCGACCTCCCCAGATCCTGAGGACAAATATTGTCCCGGCCACAAGCCAGCGGCAGGGCGATGTTGACATAATCTGGAGCCGGGTGAAGTGGGGGGTCCAGGGGCCCAGAGGCGAAGCAGAGGGACTCCCATCGGGGGCCCTCCAGGCATCTCCACCTCCTGCATCTCCAATCTTGATCACACAACTCAGCAAGGGCCGCGCTGGGCTCTCTCTGCTGCCCCCTTGTGGCGGTGGACAAGCTGAGACAACCCCTTTCCAAGCCTCCAAAACAGCAGGTGGACCTTGAATTTCCTACACTCTCCTGGGGGCTAGCTCCCTCTTCTACCCTTACTCCCATCCGCCAAGGCAGCCCGGAGGCCAAGGGCCCTGCTAAAGCCCAAACCTCATCCTGTCCCTCCCGTGCTCCAAACCCGCCATGGCTCCCCAGTGCCTTCAGGGGAAGCACAGGTTTCTCCTCACTACCTTCCAGGCCTTTGCTGAGCTTTCCAGCCTTGTCTCTTTCTGACTCCTCAGACTTGTCTCAGCACTCCCAATCTTTCTCTTCTCACTTTACCTAAATTGCTTCCGTCAATTTTGTTTTGGTTTGGTTTGGATTTTTAAAGACAGGGTTCTGAGATGAAGTTCAGGCTGGTGTCGAGCTCACAGAGATCCTCCTGCCTCAGCCTCTCAGAGTGCTGGGATTACCTGTGTGTGGTGCCATGGTGATCTTCCAAGCCCATCTCCAAGTCAGTTTATCCAGCCTCTCAGCAAATAGTTCTTCCCTCTCTTGGACTGTGAGCCCTGGGGAGCTGTGCTGGGGCTGTCCCTGTCACCACTGTCTCCCCATTTGTTAGGTACCAGGCACTGGGGGCTCTGGTGACTGGGGCAACCATTACCCTGGCTTCACGGAGCTCTTAGCCCGAGTGAAGTCCTAAATATGGAGACCAACAGACAGAAAAAAAGAGAGGGAAAGACAAACATATTTTTTAAAAGTCAGAAAGAGAGGAAAAAATAGACTAAAAAAAAAGCCATAGGTCAATAGAGCTAATAATAATAATAATAATAATAATAATAATAATAATAATAATAGCTGCCATATATGGGAATTTTTTGAAAACCTTTACTGGTATAGATAATAGATGATAATACTTATCACAGGGAATTTGTACCTGTAGATTACGTATCTTACTTCTTTTTTTCCCATTCTCCCCTTCCGTCAATCCCTCTTCCCCCTTTATTTACAAAAGCTTTGTTTTCATTTTTCCTTCTATTCTCTTTTTCCCCTTCCTTCCTTCCTTCCCCCTCTCCTGTTGTTCCTCTTCTCATTTGAACATTTTCTTCCCATTTCTCAATATCTACTACATATTTTGGTTCTCATTCACACCTTCAGTGTCTCACACCAGAGAAATAATGTTGTATTTACACACGTCCATCTGATTTATCTCACTTAAGAATATGGTCTCAAAGGTCGGGGATTTAGCTCAGTGGTTCGGTGGCCTGCCTTGCAAGCGCAAGGACCCGAGTTTGATCCCCAGTACCAAAAAAAGAATATGGTCTCAAGGTCCATCCATTTAGCTAGAAATGTCTCAAGCAGGAGCCGGGTGTGGTGGCGCACACCTGTAATCCCAGCACTCGGGAGGCTGAGGCAGGAGGATCTCTGTGAGTTCGAGCCCAGCCTGGGCTACATAGTGAGTTCCAGGGCATTCTCAACTACCTAGTGAGACCCTGTCTCAAAAACCAAAAAAAAAAAAAAAGTCTCAAGCATATTCTTCTCTATGGTGCAGTAGTACTCTGTTGTACCCCCCAAAAAACTGTATCTTCTTTATCCACTCTCTTTTGATGTGAATTTGGGCTGTTTCCAAGATTTAGCTATTATACATCGTGCCACTATAAACATGGATGCACATATATCGCTGTGGTAGGATGCTTTTAATTCTTTCAGGAAGATGCCAAGAAGAGGAATAGCTAGGTGAAGTGGAACCTCTAGTTTTAATATTTTGAGGAATTGCCATGCTGATTTCCACAGTGGTTACACCATTCTATACTGCCACCAACAATGGAGAAGGGTTCCCTTTTCCTCACAATTCCACCAGCATTTGTCTTTCAGACTACGAATTTCTTTTCTTTTTGTACCGGGAATCAAACTCTGGTCCCTCTGCTTGCAAGGCA